TCAGATTCAACTTCATCATTGAAGATTTATCAGGTAAGGACTTCCAAGAAAAAACGAAATCTTTCATTGAAGTTATCGATGAATTTGATTTCATTTCGTGTAGTTTTCCATAAGTCCCACTCATTAATTAAGATACAGAAGCAATAACTAAAGTAGTAATATAAAATGGCAGACCTAATTGAACAGATTTATAATTAAAAATGTTAACTTTTTTTCGCTTTGCATTGGGAGGAAAAATGATTTTAATATAATTAATGAATAATTGTGCTTGTTACTTCTAATTCTTTTGAAATGGCAGCTTTTCAATTTTTGTTAGATTCCATAACTGATCCCAAAAACATTATTTAAATTACAAATCAGGCAATACTTATTATTTATTATAAATGAATGACACGAAATAAAAATAAGTCAGTTTACTATCAAAACCAACAGGTTATGGGCAACAAGAAGAAAAAAATCTGCAATTAATTTTAATTTTTTTTAACCAAAAGAGAAATTTATAAGTTTGAAAATCAAAGTTAAAATTTTTTCATTGAACAAAGCTGAAGAGGTTTATCTTTAATATAAACGCTCAAAGTAATAATCAATGAAAGAAATAAATCTGAAGATTGAACAAACGTTTTAATTTCCATTGTTTAATTTTTTTAGTTCTCCCGAATGTCATTATCGCATTGTCGCAAAATTAAAAGAGGAAACATCAGCAACATCCTCAAACCAAGAAATTCTTGATTCAGTTTATTATCAAAACCAACAATTTTCTTCTGTACCATAGTTAGAAATTTTGTGCAATGATGTAGGCATGTTATATTAGGGAATAATAACATAAAATTATGAGCTGTATCAAGACAAAATATTTTTGATTGTTCGATATTTATCTGTTGCGTACTTGAAATCACGATTAATAATGTTTTGATTTTCTCGATAAATTTCTAAAAAATTCGGATAGCAGTTCTGTGTTATCAAAAACTTTTCATGCTACATTTCCTGTATTCGAATTTCCAGAACCACCAGCAGCAGGTTGAGCAACTTTTAAATTCAATTTCTCTTCAAAAAACTTTTTGATTATTTTCTTTCTTGTTTTGACCTCTTCTTGATCTACATTTCGAGCTTTCCATTTTTTTTGCATCGATTCTTGTTGTTTTTTCAGTCGTCGCAAGAAAAATGAAGGAATTGAAATGGAATTCAAGGAAGAAGAAAAACTTCTTGAAGATGATGACTTGATGTCTGAAGATCAATGACGTCAGATATTTTGGTCTTTAAATGCGTCAGTAAATGATTCTGTAGTGCCATGTTTCATTCCTTATAAATCTTTCTTCGCCACATTCCAAGCTACCAAGAAAATTTAAATTTATTGTACAAATTGTGAAAACCCCGCGATACCTCGTCTTCGTTCGTGTCTGCGACTGTGATAAAAAATAAATAATCTAAATCTGATAATATACATTTAAAAAGAAACAGGATCGAGATTCGACACAATTCTCTCACTTTGAGACAATGCACATTGGGTATGGTTAGGAACAAAAAGTGAAAAAAGTCAATAAAATTTTAAATATACATTTTAGGTATATGGTGTCTTTGGGAAAGTTGTTCCTTAAGACATGCTGCACATTAGTCTCTTATATTTTTTTTCAGTATGATGACGCTAGAAGCCGCTNGATCTTTTAAATGCGTCAGTAAATGATTCTGTAGTGCCATGTTTCATTCCTTATAAATCTTTCTTCGCCACATTCCAAGCTACCAAGAAAATTTAAATTTATTGTACAAATTGTGAAAAAACCCGCGATTCCTCGTCTTCGTTCGTGTCTGCAACTGTGATACAAAATAAATAATCTAAAGCTGATAAAAAACAATGATAAAGAAACAAGATCGAGATTCGACGAAATTCTCTCGCTTTGAGGAAATGTGAAGTATTCTTCATGTATTCCATTCCATTAACCATCTCCTTATAGCTGCTTTCCTCCATATATTCTATCTTCAAGTTTCCTATTCCTGTTTCTAAGTTTTCCATCTTGTTTGTTTTCTAAAAGCAACAAAACAATTCAATTAATTTTTTTTTTCTTTTCACAATATTTTTTTTCACCTTTCAATCTTGATTTTTCAAATCAGAATGAATTTTTCCATAAGGATAATTTTAATGCTTGCTGCGCGCTATGGGTATGGTTAGGAACAAAAAGTGCAAAAAGTAAATAAAATTTTAAATATACATTTTAGGTATATGGTGTCTTTGGGAAAGTTGTTCCTTAAGACATGCTGCACATTAAACCTTCATACTTTTTTTCAGTACGATGACGCTAGAGGGCGCTAGAGATAAGTTTATAACAAATTAATTTCTAGCGTCTTCTAACGTCAGCCTACTGCAATAAAGTGTAAGAAGCAAATGTGCAGCAAGTTATAGGGAACAACTTTCCCAAAGACACCATATACCTAAAATGTCATTCGAAGGTAGTAAGAAGATGTATTTTTAAATGATATATTTTAAAAAAAATCAAAGGAATTTGAACATCAATTTTAAGCATCAAAACATTTATGTCGCGTTTTAAATAAACATTTATTAAAATTAATAAAACAAATGAAATAAATTTAAGGCAAACCAATATTCTTTTTATTTATATGTATTTTTTATTACATATTAATATCATCATTATTATCATCGATGAATGTTATATTCTCATCGAATATCATCAGACTCTTTGCAGCTTCTGTTATTGTTTTTTTTTTGATTTTTTGAAATCTTCTGTTGATGTCATATTGAGACAACAATGGATCAGACGAATCGAGAGCACGACAAAATACATCATGAATATTATGCATTCTCGAGTCTCGTCTGGCATGGTTTATCCGATCTAATTTGTAAAATTTGTTTCTAGATTCTGATCCTTCTTCGCTCATCATTCCTATTGGAACTGGCATTCTTTCAATGATTTCACAGCCATGAATTAGGATTCTATGTAATGACTGTGGCATACTATACCAAGGGAAAAGCGACACGAAATGATGAGCCGTGAGAGTTTCTTATTGCCAGAGCGTTTAGCTGAATATGCAGCAGCATTCAGTAGCACATCCACATTATATTGTGCAAATGAAGCAATTCTTGAAACTTGATATTTTTTCGAGCGCAGACATTGATTTTGATATGGAACTCGAGGTCGACCGAAATTAACAAAAGGTGATTTCTTTTTGAGTTTCAAAATTTTGAAGTTGAAATTGAAATCACTATTCAACCATATCTTGTATCTTTTACAAAAGTATTGCCAGTTTCTTGATACCTATTATAAACATTTGTTATTGATGAGTGTTGTCTAAATGAGAGTGCAAACAACCTTCTTGTAATACATTTTGAATGTTTTGATGAGATATTTTAACTTCAATGAGACTTGTGACTTTTCAATGTTGCTGAATAGTTTGACATTTTTAGTTCTATAATATGTTCTAGACATAGCTTAACTACATCATCTTCAACTTCTTTAGTATTTTCCTTTAAAATATTAGCGAAAAACTCGTTATTTAATTTCATTTTGAT